AATTGATATTTATTCAAGTACGATATTCAGTATTTCTAAAGCACCTGGCATGGAACGATGTCGTTGTTCAGAAAAATGGGTATGATTAACAATTGTTCTTTGTCAGTTCGAAATTGTTTGGTAAGTCATTGAGATACAAGTTTAGAATAAAATTGAAGTTTGTAGCTGATAAACTCAGATCTATGAATATTCAAGATGTTCTTCTAAAGTTTGTTCGAATGATGATGCTACATGTATAAATAATAAGAAGATCTGTGAAATATTCGATTCGATTTTTCCTAGGATATTTTTTATGTGTCGTTTCGTATATTTACAATTTAGTGCTATACTACTATTTAACAGAGTTCATATAATCAACCACTTTTTGATAAGGCTGAAATATGTCTGAATTCGTTTCTTTTCTTGCCTTTTCTGAGCATAACAGAAAAATTTTCTTCTGTTTTGTTCAAGATAAAAGATGCATTCTATTTTGTTTTTCTTTTCTTTTTTATGGTGATCTATTCAAGATAATCAGAGTAGAATATTATTTAAGTTTTCTTGAAATTTGTTATAAAGACTTTTTCAAATTTATTCGGTCTTTACCTGGAAACTAATCAACCAAATTCGAGGGTGGCTTTTAAAAACTCTATTGTTATAAGTCAATAATCTTAAAACATTACTTTTTCGAATTGGTATTTCATTTAATATAAGACAAGAAAATATTATAGCTAAAGAACAACAACTTTAACATTAACATTCAATCTTTATGTGAAAATGATTGAAATATTTTTATTGATAGTGATCGGTCATGTAAAGAAATTATCGTTCTAATACACTGACTATGACAAGTATTTGCTATGCATGTCTATTAACTGAATAAAAAAGCAAAAGGAACAATGGACTGATCAATTTATGTAGGTAAACTCGAATTTTATTTTAATATTGATATTCATTTAGTGTGTTTTAGAGTGCAAGATATTTTTGTTGATGTCATCGAACTTTTTCATTGAATATTTTCACATTAAAATAGATGAAAATAATAAAATCAATTGAAAACTAGTTTTAAAAAAGTTCTGTAAAGTTGAATTTGAACTAAATCATTCATTCAATCGAGTGTTATGATGGTATATAAGAAAATCTTTTCTTTATAAAATGCTAGATAAAAATCTTCGAATTAAAAAAAAAAAAACAATTTCTTATTTCAATTCGTCCTTCATAAAATTCAACATCGATTAGAATCCAACCAATATTTATTACCCATTCGTGCTACGTCATGACAATGCTAATTGCGAAAAACTTTCTCGAAACATTTATTTCTATTCATTTGTTTTTTTCGACAATACTTGATCGAAAATTATTTCTTTTGTTTGTTATGTATTTAACTCTTTTTGATCTATTGAACGAATCTCCTTTAAAACCGATGCTAATGATGACTTATATAGTATTGAAACATTAAGTAGTCTCAAAATTTTCTGATTTGCCGATATTCGTCATAGGAAAACAAAAGGCTATTGATTATTCAAACGACAATATGTATACACAATGAATCTCAATCAAAACGAATACTTGGAAAGGAAATACAGAAAAACAATATGATGATACTAAAACAGCTCCTCATTCATTTGATTTAGTTTTACAAAAAAAACAATGAATAAATCCAGTGAAATTGAAAAGTAGTATCGTCATTCAGTTAAACTGTTATCTTAAAACATACACTTAAAGTTGTACATATCGATACGATAAATCACGAGAATGCTTTGGAATTAATCAACAATTGAGTAGAAATACTTATGGAAACGCGAAAAATAAAGGAATCTTATATTGCATTTCGTCATAGTAATTTGAGTGAAAGTAATGATGAATGCAAAACATTAATTAGAATTCCATGATAAAACCTTGAACATCTAGAAGAACTTATTTAGTAATGATTATCAAGAAGTAGATATATGTTATAATAGTATGAATTTATTTTATCAAGATAAAGAAGAATATGAAGAAGTCCTTCAATATTGCCAAAAAGAAAATAACTATCCTTGAAAAAAAATGTCTTCCGATGAATCATTCTGATTCCAGCATCATACATTGTAATATCGATGATAAACATCAATATTTCAGTCGTTAGGATCAAGCATTGGCCAATTACATTAAATCTATTGATATTGCTGAAAATACTTTCATGTGTTAACGTCTAACAAATGCATCAGTGATGAGCAAAAGAGAGTTTTCATTTATGAAGAAACAAAAAAAAAACATTTTCATAGACATTATTGAATAATAATAACAATTGCCTCATTATTATCTTCCACACATGTTGATATTATTAAATTATTGAATGTATTTCTAGTCAGCTCAAAATAAATCATGTTAGGGATGCAACTCTAAAATTGTATCAAACTAAAAGTATAATCAACTCCTTTGATAGAACTTATCAAGATATGTTGCACTATGTGGCTTTGGTTTTTGTAAACTCTCCCATATAAATGCTTAAACGATACTGCACGCCAATTTTGTTCCGGAATTGTATCACAAATATTCAAGTTTTTTTAACGCACTACCTCTCTCGGCAGATAAACTGCATGTGTTACAGAAAGAAAGGGTGTTTCATAAGTTATCAGACTTGATAAAATTAGTTTATGTGCAGACAGGAGTTGATCTAGCTGATTGTAAGGTAATGGAAATTCAAAATTTCTACAAATTTTTTCAATATGCTTTTTTCTGCCTAGCTGGATGGAAGACATCGAGTTGTCTAGAAGAAAGAAGTTTTCTGATAATTTTGATGTAAAGTTCGAAGATAATTTTAAGTTTTGACAAAGAGCGGTTTTTGATAGTAAATTAGTAAACATTCTTTCATTTCAGACTAATATAAAATGTGTCGCACGTGTCGTACATTGCGACGAATTTCCAACAATGGAAGACGAATTCACCTTCAACACGTCTAAAAGACGTCGATCAATTTCTCAACGTGTTTTCAAACAATGGCTAATCAAGGAATAATTTAGAATAAATGAAATACGAAACTTCATAAGTTCAGTATGCTCAACCGAGTCCCTTGGATATAGCTCCAAGCGCAAAAAACAGAATGGTGAATAAATGGCTAGTCCGTAGACTGCTAAACATTTTGTGATGCGACATATAAATTCAAGAAATTTTATTTCAAAGTGTACGCAAACTTATGAATACAGTCAGTATTTTTCTATCTTTACTTTTGCGGGTGAATATTAAAATTCTTGATTAAGCAAAAATTGTTCTCCAATTAAGATTTTCTCAACTATAATACACGAATATATTAACTTTCGTGTTGATTCATTGTCGATGACGGTTATTCGTTCGATCACTTTTCACTTTTTCATTTTTCTAAATATCTCTTGCTTGAGATTAAACAGTAGTTGTTGAGTATCTATGCTCAGATGCTGAACGAAGATGCTTATTACTTCATTCAATGGATAATAATAAAGTAGAAAATTGAAATGATGATCTCTAGTGGTTTTTTTTATTATACTCTTGTGTGTACTTTGTTTTAATGCGTAGTTAAATAGATGGCATGATCAAAAGGTATGAACATCTTATGAAGACACAGCGAGGTGGAACGGCCAATGAAAAATTTTTCTTTTTTTGGCCTCTAATATTAACATATCGCCACAAAACGTAAGGTAGTCGAAACAACTACTTCTTATTGACCTTTATAATTGTCTGTACGAAATGATGCAATATTTTCTTTCAAGAAAAATGAAAAGTAATATTAAAGACTGATTTTTGATAATAACTTTGCTCGCATTATGTGTAAGGAAAAATCAAAAAATTTGATCTTTCTGTCACTTTAAAGATATACTTTATTTTTTGTTTCTTTAAATTTCGAAAAAACGTTAATGAACATCAAATCTAATAGAAAACAATAGAAAATATCACTATCAAAACAGGTACTGAAATGTATTACACTTCGTAAGAAGCTGCTCTAATAAGATAAATACAATATAATTATTTTTATGACCAAGTAACTTCAGATAATATTTTTCTTAAATTATATTGCACTAACAGATAAAGAAACAGATTATTCAAAATTTCTTGAAAATAGTTCATTGTCAGCTGACAATATTTAATGATAATTCTGTAACATGTGAAAAAAGTATAACATGAATTCATGGATTAGATTTTGACTGACGTCAAGTTTGCCTCACTTCACATGACTGATAGATAGAACATTATGTGTTATTATGTGATTCATTCGCGTTTCATATTTCTTGTTTGCATCGATTTGTTTATTTAGTCAGACAGATGACTGACATACATATCTACATATCTTTACTACTTTCTTCTCTCTTCACTTAAACATTTTGCAACACATTCTCTTCTTTTGATGTGAATAGTTCAAATATTTTTCCTTATCTTCATGTTTTCTTGCTCGTGTGTTTAGGTTTTCCAATAAATACATTTTGTATTAATCCGTTAGACCAATCATTAGTTAACAGATTCTTATTGTGTATTAATTGCGAGACAAATGTTTAACTTTATATTATTCAAATATTTCTTATGATACGAATAAACTACGGAAATACATTGAAAATATTCCTTCTGTAATATGGTATAAAAAAGAAAATACATTTTAAAAACTGAGTATATGGTATTACGAGAATGACAACATCAGAAAGCTGTTAGACTACTATTTAAAACACAAATTTGTTTCTTTTTTTTCTTTTCATCTTATTATTTTGAATTAAAATAAGTATTTTAGAAAAGAAGAACAGCAAAAAGAAAAAAAAGACATGAAATGAGGTCATCCTTTCTATTCTGTTCACCTGTGCGATTTTTAAAGGTTACTGTCTCTTAAAGTAATATGCGCACGTGTACAGAGAAAAAGAATCGACTTACTTCTATCGTTTGTCTTCAGTTTTATGTGATATTGTTACGCTTTTTTTAATATATCAATGAAAAACCAAAGTAGATTTAATATAATTTGACTGTCTTATCATCTCTTTCTCTTCACAGATATTAATTGTGTTCTATTAACAATAAAAAAATAGATTATGATAGTTAATATTTTTAATAAACTAGCATATATTCAATTTATTCGTCGTTCATTTCATACAACTTATCAATTAAAATGTGGTGTTCTATCTTATTTTTATTATTCCCCATCTTCTAATAAATGTTTTGAAAAAGATCAACAGTCATTATTAAATGGTTTACATACTTTAAAACATCGTGGTCCCGATGAATTACCATCATTCTGGATAAATCAAGAGAATACAGTTGGTCTCGGTCATACACGTCTAGCTATTATTGATCTTAGTGAACATGGTCGACAGCCATTACATTCATTTGATACAAAACTACATTTATCTATGAATGGTGAACTATATGATCATGATCGTATACGACAAGAAGCTATTGAAAATGATAACTATCAATTTACAAGTAAAAGTGATAGTGAAATAGCTATGTATTTATATCAAAAATATGGTTTAAAATTTGTGAATTATTTAAGAGGAGAATTCGCTATAACAATGTATGATGAACAACGAAAAGTATGTTGATAAAATTTGATATTATTTATAATGAAAAGTTATATACAGATATTTATTGCCGTACGAGATCGATTTGGTATTAAACCATTATATTATACTTATTTTGAAAATAAATTATTATTTGCTTCAGAAATTAAAGCATTATTTGCTTTTGGGTAATTTATTAAGCTAACCTAGTCTTAATACATTTGTCTATTGTTATTTTAGTGTTCCAGCCATTTGGAATGAAGAAGTCATATACAATATGGGACAACTTCGTAGTTTACAAACAATATATAAAAATATTCAACAATTACCACCCGGTCATCTATTAATAGCTACAGATAATGGTACAATAAATATATCAAAATATTATGATTTAACTTATATAACTCGTGAAGAAGAAAAAAAAGAAAAACGTACTGAACAAGAAATGATTGATGGTGTACATCAACGTTTACTAGAAGCTGTTCGTCTTCGTATGAGAGCTGATGTTACAGTTGGTGTTTATTTATCTGGTGGTTTAGATTCATCTGTATTATTAGGCATGGCAACTACATTCACAAATAAACCAATTAATACGTATTCAATATCATTTAAAGATCATCATTATTTTAATGAGCAAAGTTTATGTATTCGTACAAATGAATTTTTACGAGAAAAAACAAAACCATATATTATAGAATTAACACATAATGAATTAGCTGATTATATTGATGATTGTATATATCATTATGAATATCCATTAGTGCAATTAAGTCCAGTAGGAAAATTTTTATTATCAAAATTAGTTAATGATAATAAAGGAAAAGTTGTTTTGACTGGTGAAGGAAGTGATGAAATATTTGCTGGGTATGTTTCTTGAAGTTTTTCTATAGAATCAAACTAATTAGAATTTTTAATCAGAATTCATATTTAGGCATGCATAGTATTGATGTAAATATTGATAGTGAGTAATCAAGACAAGATTCACTGATGCACTGATTATACTGGCATCAGTGTTCACTGAATTAATGACTACGCTAATCTGTGTGTTCGCAGCAACAATGAGACACCAACTCTATCAAAATATACCCTTTTTGTATTGGTGCTGTCTAGTACTTCATTGTACATTAACTATACTGGTTTGGTGACTTCGGTAGTTAGTAAACTGAAACTGCACACTCCTATTCCTATTAAAATACTGAAAAGTAACTTACTGATACTTTGACATAACGAAAGTGAAATTTTAAATTTTATCTAATCAGTTTTCATCGAAATTTGAATTAGACTAACAATTAAATAAAAATTTATTTTCTTCTTTTTAGCTATTCTTTTTTTCGTCAAGATTATCTTCTTCATGATATTCAAAATGATCCAATAGTAAATGCAGATATTAATGAAGAAGAACGTAAACATTTATTAAAATCTTTATTATCTAATCTATTGAGTCGTTCAAGTACTGAGAAAAATAAGTTATATGAAATGGATGCTATACAAACAATTGGTTATGTACCATCGGATGCAAGTCCACCATCTCTATTAACGCAAAAATGTTTTGCACAACGATTACAAGAAAAATACCGAGATTTTCCTTTAAATAGTTTCTATTATAATCAATCATATTTATATGATTATCATATAAAACAACAAATGCTTAATTATAAAATAACACGTGCTCATTCAACGGAATATCTTTCAATAAAAAAAAGTCTCCTCAATATACTTTTAAAAGTATTTGGTGATCGATCAGAAATGGCACATTCTGTTGAAGGACGTACACCATATTTAGATCATTATTTAGTTGATTATGTGAATCATTTACCAACAAATATGAAATTAAAATTAATCAATGGTAAATTATTAGAAAAATATATTTTAAGACAAGTCGGACGACCATATATAACAAATGAAATATATCAACGAGAAAAACATCCATTTTTAGCACCACCAACATTTTTAGATCGAAATTCGAAAGTTTATCAATATATGCAAGATACATTGAATTCAAAAGATATTCAAGATTTAGATTATATATTTGATATTGAACACATACGAAATAGTTTAAATCAATTACATAAAAGACAAAAAGAAATGGAAAATAAATTACAATTGAGAGAATTAGTTTCATTAGAAGGTTTTTATTTAATGTTATGTAGTTATATAACATTGAAGAGACGTTTCAATGTTAAACATGAAGGACAATAAAACATTAAAGTAAATTTCTGTAATAATTATACTTTTATTCGAGATGCATGATATTCTTTAATATTCATATATAAACTATTTACAGAAAAATGATATTTTCAGTTTTTAGCTAATGGGATATTTTTCATGTTTAACAAAATACAATAAGTCACAATCATACTTTAATTTTGATAGATTAAATCGAAGATGCAACATCTCTTACATATAACACGTTCATAAAGTTATCTCTCTTACTCTCAGTTTTTTGCATATCTTTTACATTCTCGATTTATTGGCTAGATGGAAATATTTTACACAACAAATATGAATATTTAATGTATTTTAAATAAAGTCAAGGCATTCATGAATGAATTCGTTAGAAACATTATTATTGCTTCGATCTTAAAAGTTTTAACCAATTAAAAAACTGATCTGTTTTAATAATTTATTTATTCGCATGATTTAGTATAATTAGAAATAAAAACGATTGTTTGAGATTAGATAATAAATTAAACCAGGATGATAATTGGTTTCAATGAAAAATACCTTCGATTGATTTACGAAGTGATGAAAATCCGTGCGATGCTTTATTTCCAGTTTTTTTGCTTTTATCAGCAGCACCTTGAGCAAATTCACGAGTTTTTCCGGTTACAGTGTCTGTCGCATGTTTCATACCATCTGAACCTACAATAACAATATAAATATTGATATGATGCGAAAAGAAATAATTTTATCAGGAACGTTTAAATCGAGATTTGGTTCGATTTTTTATATATGTGTATGTGTGGAATGATTTATCAGTACACTATTCTTTATTTTTTTCAGCTACCTTTTTGTTTCATCTCAAGCGTCATTAGTAGCGTTAGTTTTTGAATTACCTGTATCTTTAGTTTCTAAATAATGATTAGTCGATTGCATTAAACTGTTATCATAGTTTTCTATGTCTTCTATTAGCTAACCGAAAACAAACGAATTCTTTACATCATTCGCAAATTTTCCCACATTTTTAGCCATGTCTTTAGTTTAATCGGCATCGTCATTAGATGTTTTTGACTGCCAAACAAAGAACAGACACATTGGAATTACATATTGATATCTGTTTTAGAGTTTGTAAACCAAAAAACAAAAATAACAAATGACATTTCTTTTCTAGAATAACCCTACTCAGAAAATGTATTTCTACATAGCTATACATTTAATATTTTTCTTTCTAAAGAACTCTACTTACCTTTTGCAACATTATCTTTGACATTTTGAGTACCGTTATTGAGTTTATCCTTGGCTACGTTGACTTTGTCAGTAACAACATCTTTGGTTTGATTCACTGTGTCTTTGATGTCTTCAACAGCTAAACAGATCATAGATTTAAGGTACAACTTTGCAATCAATCTACATGATAATTGTCAGAAACTTATTGTTCCTTAATATTCTGAAGCATTTCAAAGAAGAAAAGCTCGTTATTTAAAAAAAAACAACCCTAAATGGATGTATAATTTATTAGTAAGTAGATATTTCTCGTGTAATAAATTACTTTAGTTTAAATAGACATGGATTCACTTACTTTTATCAACGGCTTCCTTTGCTCCTTTCGTTACACATTTTCCAACATTATTAATTTCATTTGCACCTATCGTAAATGAATAAAAATCATTTCAAAATCAATTCTGTTTTTATATTATATACGTACCTGTCTGTAAAGCCTTTCCGACTTCGTTTTTTGCTCCTTTGATTGAGTCAGTCGCTAGAAATAAAAAAAAAATTGAAAATTTTACTCCAATTTATGTTTTAATTTTCGTACTATTTTCTTTAACTGATGGTAGACTATGTTCTAATTCATTTTGACCTTGTTGTATTTGTTGTTTAGTATTATTTTCAGCTTGTTTTATATTTTTTCCAACTAGAATATCAAATCATTTTTAAACTTGACTAATATTATATTGCATACTTTTATCAGTTCCAGCTGTTACCGTTGCTGTCGCCTAAAAATTATATAACATAAGATAATAAAATCTAAACTTTAGTTTTATAAACTTACGTCATTTATACCACGATGAATATTGTTTTCCTTGCATACAAGAAAGCATAATTCAATATGAAGTTGAAAGAAAAAGAAGGTGTATTTACCATATCGCTAAGATTTTGATGTTGTAGTGTGCTTTTTTCATTTCGTTGTCGTTTTGGAGGCATACTAAGTAAAATTTTATGATCGAATAATCTATCAACATATTTTATTAGTTTACTTTGTGTTAATAAATTGATTTTCTTTTTGAATATCGATTCAAAATTCGAACAAATACAAACACAAGTAAAGATTTATAAAATGAAATTTCAAGGTTGTCAAGTAATAAATAGAAACAAAAAAAAAGAATAGCGCTCATTAACAGAACTGAATTTCTTTTTTATTATTGTCTCATAGGCTTTAATCAAAATATTGTCGAAAATATAAACGAGTTCTATAGTTTTCGTATTTCTTTTGTATTCAGTTGCTTCTTATTGACTAGCGACACTAGTAGACAAAATTTTGAATAATCTTTTTTTTTTCTGAATGATATTCACACTGAGATATAAAAGACTATTCTTATTTTCTTGAGTATCAATCGCGTTAGGTGACATTTGAACATGATCATTTCGTTAACTCTGGTAAATAACTTATAAGTTTACTATCCCTAAAATACTACTAGTTTCAACTCAAATTTTCTATTTGTTTAATCATATACTTGCTGAACAATTTTCTACGATGAAAAACCATTATCCGTCAATTGTTCCACAATGTTTTTAAGATCTTTCAATGTCGTTTTTCTAATTGTATTCCTAGAACATGTATGAAATTATGATTTTATTCTGTTGTTGTGTAGCTATTGAATATTTTCATGATATTACTGGAAATATTATATCAATTAAATATATGGATAGTGACAAAGGTCATCTGTTGTGCACAAGAGTAGTTGGCTTGTTTTATACTAAATTATTTTAAGTACGAAAAAAACAAATAAAAATTTTAGAATAGATCTTAATTTGAACTTGTTTTAAGTACAATGAAGAAATTATAATAGTATTTTAGTTAAAAGCCATGGAAACTTATTTAATCGAAGAATTATTTTAGTTTTCTTTTGCGTTTAATTACTATGCCACGTCTTGGGTGAGTAGCAAATATATTGGCTTTTTTTACTTTATTGATCTTCTTCTAGATGTGATACTCGCATACATAAACCATCAATAGATATTGCTGATCGAGTATTTGATCTACGAAATCGTGTTGCATGGCTCAGTAAATATTTCGATATTTATTTATAGATAATCTATAATCATGTATATTTAAAGAAAATGTCGAATATTGTTTATTGGGTGATCAAACAGATCGATTGACCAACATTAAAACTGAAAGATATAATACAGAATTGTTCAATAATGATTTGAGAAAAAAATTAATTATTCCTTCAGAAAAGGTTTTGTATTTTATTTTATTGAAACTATATTTTTTTTTGTATATTTATCATAAGATAATCATCAATCAATTTGCAAAAAAAATATATGACGATTGTTGTAAGGTTCGCAATATTTATTCATATAATGTAATCTAAAGAAAATATTCTAGGAAGGAATGGATTCTATACATGATAAACGAAATCGAACAATGCAACAACATAATGAACTTTTATTTATTCAACAACGTTTACACAATCGTCTTGAATCTTTACGTGATCAAAGACGTTATGATGAAAACGATAATAAATTATTTTCATTACCTATCAAACAGATTCAAGTAAAAATATAGACTATATAGATGTTTCTTTGTTTTATGAGGTTGATTATTAACTGTAGGATACTAAAATAGTGACACGTCGTATTCGTGAAAAACAAGATCGATTAAAAAGCGTTCAATTAATTAATAAAACATTAAATCTTTGTAAACAATATTTACAATGTGTAATTTTCATATACAAACATAATTTATATTAATCTATATTATTCAATATTAGGATTTAGATTTACTTCGAAAAGAATTACCAAATGTACACAAAGATATTGGTCATAAATTTCATCAAAGAATGCTTCTTAAAAAAGAATTTACAGATATTGTTGCTGAAAATAAACGACGTTTAGTAGGATTTATTTTATATATCAATGATCTGAACAATCATTGTTACTCTGTATATTAGAAAGTTTATCAACAGTTATTAGATCATACTGAAGCTCAAGTTAATTTAAAAAAAAAACATAATTACATTTTAATCATTGTATTTTATAGAGCCGACAACGACGTGCCATACATGAACAAGCCATGGTCTCTGTCAGTGAACAATTAGAAGATCAATATCAAATGCAGATGATGGGTAACAGAAATAACAATATCGATGTTTAGCATTACTTTCAATGTACAGAAACTTTCCTGTGAAATTCTAAAGCAAGATGTTCAATTGAAAGAATACGTTGCTAATGCAAATAGTCTTTTTTTTCTATTCAGTCAGCGAGTAGCACTGTTTTGAACCATTACTTTTGAATTATGTTCGCAAGCATATGATTTTTAAAATAATATGCTTAAAACTGTTGCAAGAAATTAATTGCTCATTAGACGCTTGAGATGTAAAAAAAATCGAGAATATAGACTTCCACTGTATAGATTGAAAACATTTTTTGAATTATATATTCGAACGTCAAATGCTGGATGTTTTTATTATTTGTAGCTGTAAATGAGATGACAACTTCATTTGAATCACGAAAATTTACTAATGATACTGATCCAATAAAAAATTTACAACAAAAGAAATTAACTATCATGAATAGTGATGAAATAGTTCAAGTTCGTTGTATGTATGATCAATTTTATAATATTATTATGGCTGGATTTCCAATTGATATTGCTGTAAGATTAGACTGTTATAAAACAAATTTTTGTATTTTTGTTTATCAATAGAATTCAGAACAATTAAAAATAGTTACCAATGAAGTATCTGCTAAAATTATTGCTAGTATGAGTTTATAATAGATGATTAAATTAGAAATAATAATTATTTTGAATT